GTTAATCTGTCGTTCATTATATAATATTATTTAATATTTTTCTAATTTTTTTTTTATCTAAAGCCGATGTCTAAAACTATTTGTTTCGAAAACTTTGATATATTTTTCATAATTTATCTCCCATCGACTCTTTTAATTATTCCATCTTCGCGTGAATTCTATTTTTATATTAAAATATGTTAGATTTTCTTGTTATTAGTTAACATAACCCTCATTTTTTGATAAAATTATCAATCATATGAGACGGTACAACTTATATTTATATTTAGAATAATAAAACTATATTTTTTTTTCATAGTTGTTCTTTATTTTCTAATATTGAGTGTATAAATATTATGTACTCTTCTATCTCTAAAAGAAGAATACAATCTCAAACTATCACCAACATGAGTTTTTTAATTTATATAATCGATGATTCCAGAAAAGTTTGTTTTAACCCTAACTCTATGTTTTTTAGTCTTCTTTTACGTAGGAAAGAAAGGAAAGTAATGGATGAAGAAAAATATTATGTTATCGAGATTTTTTTAGGGAAAGGAAAAGAAAAGGAAAGGGAAAAAAATTATATCAAATTATATTATTTATTTCTTTATTTTCCTTCCTCTATCTTCTTTATTATAAACACAAATAAAAAAAACTTTTTTTTCGTCCTTTCTTTTATTTTTCTTTTCATTTCTCATTTTTTTCTTTCATTCTCAAATCCGAAAACATAATATAAAAGTTTAAAATGATGTTAATCTTCCCAAATTCGAAAACATAATATAAAAGTTTAAAATGGTGTTATTCTTCCCAAATTCGAAAACATAATATAAAAGTTTAAAATGGTGTTAAGCTTCCCAAATTCGAAAACATAATATAAAAATTTAAAATGGTGTTAATCTTCCCAAATTCGAAAACATAATATAAAANAGTTTAAAATGGTGTTAAGCTTCCCAAATTCGAAAACATAATATAAAAATTTAAAATGGTGTTAATCTTCCCAAATTCGAAAACATAATATAAAAATTTAAAATGATGTTAAAAAACATTAACATGACATGACATGAAAAACCAATCTATTTACATTTATTTACATAGTGTCACTTGGAAATCAGAAGAATCAACTTTCTAACCCCAAATGATGTCATTCTATGTACCAAAAGTGTATCATAGGATGTTTTTGATGATGAAACAAATTACCGATGCTACATAAAAATGTTCTAGTAGATAATATTAATTTAGAAATGAATATTAATTGATTTTGTGTCCAAAAATACTCGAAAAAACGGTATTATATGACTTCAATGTTATTTCTGATGATAAAAACAATATATTGTAAAAATATCATACTTATCGAGAGCCCTTTCTCACATCTCGCCCAGGGCCTAAAAAAGTCAGGAACGGGCCTGGTTATATTTTTTAATAAAATAAATTTGTGATACATATACATAAAGCATGTGTATAAACAATTAAATCTATGTGTCATACTACAAATAGAAAAAAGAAAAGAAAAAGAAACCTAGATTAACACCCCGTCTCCATCGTTGTTGTCAGAGAAAAACCTGCCGTCACCATACATCACTGTCGTAAGATAAATCACATATCCCGTTATCATAATCAAAACCTACTTCGATTATGGGATTTACAAACCCACTTCAAACACAGTACGAGAGGAATTATTCATTGCTTATTCATACTCCATTCTCATCGTAATTAACACCATAACTAGGTGTGTATTCTTCAAAAGCTACAAGATAGCTTATTACGTGAAAATTGTGGATCGAAAAGCAAGTAAGATAAAAAAAAAGCGAAAACAGTGGTTTTGTATTGGTAAAGTGGTTTTACAGAGTGAGACCAAGGAGACGATGGTGTAGGGGAGAGATGGACGCAAGGGACGATGAAGGTGCAAGCAATCAGTGGTTCATAATAGGGAGTGGTAGTCCGTTCACCAAATAAAATGAAAGGAAATGAAAAATGACCAAAATACCCTTCATTTAATAAATTTTAACCGTTAATGAGAGGGGTCAAAACCGAACAAATATGCAAACTATGATGATAAATATGTATTGAATGAATTATAAGGAGCAAAATCAAGAAAATCAGATCTAATACCAAAAATTGTTTAAAGCCCACTACTCCATAACTAGTATTTGGTGGGTTGGGTTGGGTCGCTTGGATTTGGGCTTTGATAACTATAATTTTCGAAATGGGCCGTCGGTCTTTTTCTCAATACGAAATGTTTTTTATCGGGTTTTTTAAATGATTAAATCCAGATTTATTTATTTATATGTTTAATGCTATAAGGGTACTCGCACAATGCAGCAAACTACATCTTGATTTTAATATTTTATTTTATTCTTTATCATGGTCGATGTTATAATATGGTCTTATATGATTTTGAAAAAGCGATGATGTTTTTATTTTTGAATAAAATATAAACTTGAATATATCATAAAATTTTGACAAAAATATATCGATATTAATATCTAACTATTTAAAATTCTTATTTTTTGTGTAATTTTTTAATTCAATTTTTTTATTATAATTTAATTTATGTTCAATAACAAAGTAATTTATATTTGGTTTAATAATATAAATTTTTTTATATAAAAATAATAATTAATTTTTTTGTTATAACTCGACAATTATCCTAATTATATTTTAGATTTTTTATATTTTAAAATGAGATGTTTATTCTCTATTTGATTATGTTTATCCGCAGTTAGTTACACGAATTCAAACATGAAACTTTAATAAGGTGTACTTATGCATAATTTATTTGTAATCTTGAATTTTAAGTAATATGCATCAATATACAGTTTTTCAAACATAAAAAATGGTTTTTAAGAGTTTTTGTCAAATGTTTTATAATATAATATAGTTAATATTTATTTTATTTTTAATATAATATTTATAAACTGCAAAAAAAAAACTGTCAACGACAGTTTATATGGAAAATTATATGTATTGTTCACGTACATGACATAAAGTAAGAAAGTCCGCATATTTTGGCCATTTTTTTTATTTTTTGTTAGTTTAGCCAATTAAATTTACCCGGCCAGATATAATTTGATCATTATGAACAAATCCACGTATATACAAAATACCGTCTCAATTCATCCTATTTCATCAGATTTCATAAAACCACACGATTTTCCCGAAATCCGATCATCTCCTCTCCCTTCTTTCGATCACCTTTTCCATAAAATATACCATTTGTCACAATTTAATTCATGTTTTAAATTTAATCAGTAATTATGTTTTTTTAGACAACGTCATATAACATAACACAAGTGGGGCCGAATTTCATTTTGTGATATTGTAACTTTTTAGTCATATATGTTCATCATAGATGGGTATCGGAGAAGTCCCTGTACTCATCGAGGAATGAAATTCTGTAGATCACAGTTAAGTCGCGTTCACTCAAGAACACAAGATTACAAGATATGTAGAATTGAATTTGTCGGATGTCTCAACATATGTTCGATATTTCTCTCTCAATTCAATGCGATCAACTCTCACAAACTTTCTTAGGGGCCGTTTACCATACACTTACCCGGTAAGTGGGTTACTAGTAAAATTTAACACTATTATTTACTTACCGGGTAAGATTTTAATTCATCAAAACGACATTGTACGCAACAATTCACCCGGTAAGCACTTATCGTGGTAAGAGTCGTCGCTCTCACTTACCGAGTAAGACTCTTGGTCCTTCTCTCACTCTTATCAGGTAAGATTTTTTTATTCTTATCACATTCATTCAATAAGGTAATGTGGCTTTATGTTCACTTACATGAGTAAACGTTTAGTAAACGACCCCTTAATAATTGAAATATTTATACAACGTTCTTGTCGAACGACTTTGCGAGCCTTTGATCTACCTTAAAGGTGCCGCACTCAGCAAAAAATCGGGTACTATTAACAACATATGGTACTTAGCACTGGAACACCATGTGTCTTTGCACTTGATAGTGGTCGTGACCATTTCTGCCACATGCCAACATTAGGTTTTGGCTACTTGATGTATTTGGTACCTGGTAGTGGTTGTGACCATTTATGCCATGTGATTGCACAAATTTTAATTTTTTGGGTACTGGATGCATTTCACGGTGACACACAATCACTACAGAAATGCACATGCAACCGTGTTAATACATTCAGTTGGATATTTAGTGTTCGACATGGTTACCATAGACATACACATGCAACAACTACACATACTTGCAGTGAGAGTTATTCTAAATTGGCAGGTATTTTTTTGGAGACAAATCATGTTTCATCAGTCAAAAACTTGTATATGTGTATAAACAAGTGCTTAATGAATAAGGAAGCACTAACACTGATATTAACATCAACTTCTATTCTTTCAAGATTAAAACCCAACATCTAATGATGCTCATAGAAGATTTTATGTACGTTACATGAAATATAATTTTGAGGGTGAATCCTTGGAAGTTCTCAGTACGGAAACCATTACTGTATATGAAGGGCTAATAAAATTTTAAGGACAATATATACACGTCTTCAATTTTTGTTGACTAGTTTTCTAACACGTATCTTTTTTTTAATGTAGAAAAAAGTAAATAGAACTAGTCACGAATTATCCGAGATCAAATTTCATGACCAATACTGGTTAAGGCCTAAAGGGCTGTATGACAGTTGTTAAATGGTTTGATATAAAATGATTAAGTGGTCAGAATGATTAAGAGACTCCCATGATATAAAACAAAAATGTAATATAATTGTTTGGTAATTATTTACAACGAAATTAGAGCGCTGAATGGTTAAAGAAGGCCCATGATACAAAATCATTCAGAGGGTTTTAGAATCATTAAGAGATAGATTTTTTTGCTAAACTAGATTCACCTCTAATGATTCAGAAGTTGCTTCTTAATTGAACTATTGAGAGGTAAAGAAATGAGAAGGGTCATTTTTAAACAATGAGAATTTGTACAGGGGCTGGATTAGAAATTATTTATTTTATTTTTCCCTCTAAAACCCTAAAAGACCTAGCGGCTCTTCATAAAGAGAGCGAGAGAGAAAGGCGACGCCAAAACCCTAAACTCAGTACACAGAGGGTTTGAAGAAAAGTAGCCCCATTGAGTTTTGAGCTTTTGGTCTTCAATGGCGTTGTATGTTCTATACGAGTCTGCATCCGGATACGGCCTATTTTTGGCCCACGGTATAGATGAAATTGGACAAAACACAGAGGCTGTTCGTAACTCAATAGTTGATCTCAATCGCTTTGGAAAGGTTGTAAAGCTTGCTGCTTTTAATCCCTTTGAATCAGCTCTCGATGCTCTCAATCAGTGCAATGCCGTCTCAGAAGGTACATATACATGCATATACACACGCATATACATATATCATATACGTCCTTGCTATTTGAAAATGACTGTAATGCGTTCCTTTGGCGGTATTTCATGAAGATGACACTTGTTTTCATAACAGTCCTTAGTTAGCAAGAGATAAGCTCACTGTCGTTGATAGGGTTAATTGTTACAACAAACTGAACAAAGTGCACATTTAGGTTGGAGAATTTTATTCCCTTATTAGACATGATAATATGTAGAGTTTTGAGGTCAAAAAATTGATTTTTGATTGTTTTGATATGTGCATGCTATCAAGTTTTGTGTAAACACATGATTCTTGTCTTTTATATGTTGATTTCTTTGTTTTTATTCAGGCCAAATGACTGATGAGTTGAGGAACTTTTTGGAGCTTAGCCTTCCTAAGGTCAAGGAAGGTAAGAAGCCTAAGTTCAGCCTGGGAGTAGCTGATCCCAAAATTGGGTCGCACATATATGAAGAAACTAAGATCCCTTGCCAGAGTAATGAGTTTATTCTGGAGCTTGTTCGAGGTGTTCGTTTGCATTTCGATAGGTTCATTGAAAATCTCAAGGTGTTATTCTTGTGTAGTTTTTCCTGTTAAATTATTTTTTCAGGATCTGTACCCAGTTGCAGAATGTTTTAATCTTCTTAAAACCTTCTGACCACTGTTTTTCTCAAAACTTATATAGCCTGGTGATTTGGAGAAAGCTCAACTTGGTCTGGGCCACAGTTATAGTAGGGCAAAGGTGAAGTTCAATGTTAATCGTGTTGACAATATGGTCATTCAAGCGATCTTCCTTCTTGATACCCTCGATAAGGATGTAAATTCATTTTCCATGAGAGTCAGGTTTGTTGTAATCCTTCTATCAACATAATCAGTGGTTTATTGTTATAAATTTTGGAAAGAAATTTGTATTTGTTTTTTCTTCTTAAAATGCATTAGACTCTTGCATCATGTGTCTGATGTTTGATGCAGGGAATGGTACTCATGGCATTTCCCCGAGCTAGTAAAGATTGTTAATGACAACTATCTTTATGCTAAACTTGCAAAATATATAGAGGACAAGTCAGAGTTGTCTGAAGATAAGTTACAAGACTTGATTGATATTCTTGGTGATGAAGATAAAGCAAAGGAAGTGATAGAAGCTGCTAAAGCATCCATGGGTATGATTATAGATGCTACTACTTTGTGATTATGGAAGCATCTCATCATTTTGTCATGATTTTTTCTCATTTTCTTTTTTCAGGCCAGGACTTGTCACCAGTTGACTTAATTAACGTCAAGATGTTTGCACAGCGGGTGTTGGATCTTGCTGACTACAGGAAGAAGCTGTACGATTATCTTGTTTCTAAAATGAGCGATATAGCACCTAACTTGGCTGCATTAATCGGTGAAGTTGTAGGAGCTCGTTTGATATCTCATGCTGGAAGCCTCACAAATCTTGCCAAGTGCCCTTCTTCTACTCTTCAAATCCTTGGTGCCGAGAAGGCACTGTTCAGGTCTTATATTTGCTCTGTTAGCACTTAGCTTCTAGGAATAAACATAAGTTTTTAATCAAGTGTTTGTGGTTCCATTGTTTTAGATTGGTTTTTTGGGTGTTTTTCTTTTTGGGCGGTGACCAAGAATTTTGAGCTAAAAGCAGTTAGATGTAGATATTGATCATGCTGTTCTTGTTTCAGGGCTTTGAAAACCAAAGGGAACACACCAAAATATGGTCTTATTTTTCATTCATCCTTTATTGGGCGTGCATCTGCCAAAAACAAAGGTCGAATGGCTCGTTATCTAGCTAACAAGTGTTCGATTGCTTCTAGAATTGATTGCTTCTCAGGTTAGCCTATAATTCTGTTTCAAAAGTTGTTTCCTTGGTCTTTCTACATGGCCTAAGATTGACACTTTTAATGACCACAGAAAGCAGCACCACTTCTTTTGGAGATAAGCTGCGTGAGCAAGTGGAGGAGCGTCTTGACTTTTATGACAAGGGGGTTGCACCACGTAAAAACATTGAGGTGATGAAAGCCGCTATGGAGAATGCTGCAAATCAAGGTTAGTGTGGAAAAGTCATGTACACTTTAATATCTTTTATCACGATTGGTAGTAAGCTCTAGATATTGCAACATCATGTAAGCAAAGATAGCAGTAACGATGATTGCTTACATATGCTATTGATGCATTTTCCTTCCCGTATTCTGAAATTTGGTCATTTGATCAGATACGATTCATAAATAGTAATTAAAGTTATGATCTTTATCAAAACTTCCCCCCAATTTATGTAGATGGTGGTTATCGAGAACCCAAAAAACTTGTTTTCTGATATCTAGATCTTGAAAAATATCATAAAATCTCCTCACCGTGAATCAAAAAAAGTCATTTTGTTAAATATATGTATCATTTGCAGGTGCAGAAATGGATGTGGATAAAGATTCTGAACCCTCATCAAAGAAAAGCAAGAAAAAGAAGTCGAAAGACAATGATGAAGCAAAAACAGACGACAAAGAGAACACAGCTACAAATGGAGATGCTGCTGAACCTAAATCCGGAAAGAAGAAAAAGAAGAGAGCCCTTGAAGAGGAGGCCAATGAGAACGTCAAAGAAAATGGCGCAAACGGAACAACAGAAAAGAAGAAGAAAAAGAAGAGCAAAGATGTGGAAATGGAGGATGTACCTGCTGTTAGTGAAGGCAAGAAAAAGAAGAAAAAGTCAGCAGAGTGAAGAAGAAGAAGAAGAAGAGAGTTCTGCAATACGGGTAAGTCGGCAACCTCTGTATCATGATCGTCATCTTTTCTTGCTATATCGTGGTGTTGTTGCCTACTGCTTGAATTATGATTATCGAAAACACAAGATTTGGAAATCGGAAGTTAGTTAGGTTAAGTTCATGCCAAAGTTTTGTTGTAGATTCGTTTGAATTTATTCGTGTTTAGTACGGTCGGTCGTAATAGATGCCCAACACAGTCTTTCATCTTGCAAATTGTGGTGTTTATATGCTTACAAAAAATGCTTATGTTCTAATCTTGATCTTCACTAATGGATGTTTTCCCATCAACACTTCTTTCTTGATTTCAAACTGACCCAAGACCAGTTGGGCTTGTCTAAGCTAAGCCAGGTTGTTGACCGCGAACATACGAGAGTGAGGTTGGCAGGTGAAAGAATTATAAAATGTAATAGGGTTTTAATTTGAAATGGTAGTTTGGTAATTTATTAAGGGTTAAATGCATGAAATAACAACCTACTTTCATAAATTTTCTTATTGTAGCATTTTACTTTTGCTTTTCTTTATTACAACAATGCATTTTCAAATTATTTTTTATTAAGGCATCATACTTTTAAAAAATCTACCCATTATAGCAATGGATAACCTGTTATCTTTTAAACCGGTTAATCTTTTGACTTTTTTTGCTTTTGTGACTTTAATGAGGGGATGTGGACGACACATCATTTTGATACTTAATTATAATAAAAATAAAAACATATTTCAAATTATTATTAGTATTTTTCGTTATTATTTTAAAAAACATTTTTATTTTTTTATTTTTTCTAATTAAGTTGCATGTAAATTAAATATTTTAAAGTAAAATATTTTTTAAATAAATATGCTATATTATTTTTCGAGATATATTTAGCGTGTAATAAGATTAATTGAGATGCACAAAAGTTGACAGGACAGTTACACCCTATCCTTATAAAAAATAGTTTTAGATATATTCTTTTTACTATGTAGCTTATTAAAGATTAAATATTTGCTTAGTTTGAAAGTACTAACTAAAAGTTTAAGAAAATCATAAAGCGAATTAATAACTTATAATAAAACATGTTTAAATACATGATAATTATCGAACACTACTAATACAACATTAATACTTTTATTATTAACTTTATCCACAAAACATTTTATCATTAAAATTAAATTAAAACAAATTTTATCTTATTTTAGATCTAAAATTATGGTAAAATTTAGAATTGAACAAATTATACCTAAAAATAAGAATTTACCAATATATATATAGTTGGGTTCACGTGAGACTAACTTGTTTTCGTGAAACCCGTGAGACACTCTTTTACACTTGAAACTTCACAGCAAAATGATGTGAATGTATTTTAAAAGCCGAACCTTTACAGCAAAAACACTGTGAAAATTATCTTCACAGATTTTGCTGTGAAGTTTCAAGTGTAAAAAAATGGTTTCACGGGTCTTATGAAAAAGACTGGTCTCACGTGATCTCAAGTCTATTATATATATATATATATATATATATATATAGGGAATGGTTCAAACGAGAACCCCTGTGATTTACGAGAACGCGAGAACAACTTATTAACCTCATATTGTGATAAAAAAATAAAATTAAAAGATTTTTAAAATTAAAATTGAAATTTAAAAAGATTAAAAGAAAATTAAAATTAAAAGGGTAATAATGGAAATGATGTCATAAAATCTTTTAACACGATCACATGATTAATATTGATTATCCTTTATCTAATATATCGGTTAAGAATTCAAAGGAGACCAACAAAGAAGTCATAACGTCTTATCTAATTAGTTTATCACACATTTATCACAACGAATTACTGACGAAATCAATTAAACGATTTTGTGTGATATTAGTGTGATAATCATGTGATATCAATATCACTCGACTTGATTATATGGTTTCAATGGGTTAGGTTAGACATTATCACAACGATTCCAGATGGTTTTGATAGATTAGGATTAGATAATCACACATTTATCACAACGAAAACGATTTTGTGTGATATAGGTGTGATAATCATGTGATATGAGTGTGATAATCATGTGATATCAATATCATCGACTTGATCATGGTTTCAATGGGTTAAATTAGACGTTATCACAACGATTTCGGATGGTTTCGATAGGTTAGGATTAGACAATCACACATTTATCACAACGAAAACGATTTTGTGTGATATGGTGTGATAATCATGTGATATGGGTGTGATAATCATGTGATATGGGTTTCAAGTCGTCCACTCTAGATCGACAAAAAAATGGATACTAACGATATGAAGAAAATGTATTAAAAAAGTCGACTATCATGAACGATCTGGAGAAGAATGATGAACGATCTGGAGAAGAAGGATGAACAATCTGGAGAAGAAGGTTAGATAAGAAAACTAACCAGAGGAAAACGTGGAGACGTGGTCAACAAAAGGGATAATTATGAAATTGAAATAAAATAAAAGTTATAAAAATTACTTAATTACATTATTGTCCTTGCTAAATTATTTATATATAATATAAGTTAATTTATTAATTAAAAAAGTTTGAGGTTATTGGGTTGTTCTCGTATTCTCGTAAATCACAGATGTTCTCGTTTGAACCTCCACCTATATATAATCATAAGTTCATTTGAGAAGTGCTAAATGTGCCAGAAGTGATCCTAGTCTTTTATCCCTTCAAGATTTGCAACTATGGTAACAACTATGCGAAAAATAAAGGGACAATTTCGTAACTTTTACAAATAGGCGGCAAACAAGTGCATATGTAGACCCATTAAAATCTAATAAATAGGCAGCATATAATCAGTTACATAGTTCATGTGTGAATCAGATAATCAGTTCATATGTGAATCACACGAGATTACATATGCAATTGTTTACCACCCATGCGTAAACTTTTCAAAACTACCCTCTATCTTCCACATACCATGCGACCGAATTATCCGGTGTTTCACAGTCAGTGGCGGATCTAAAAACTTAGGGCACTGGGGGTCTTAGAGGTATAAAAAAATCTGAACCCGGATAACTTACTTGTACGAAAAAGTTTCGGGTTATTCGGTTTATGAGCTAAACGGTTTGGTTAACTGAATAAGCAAAGTTTTAGTTTCTGTTTTTTTTACCATTTCAGTTGATGCAATAGCAAATTATACTATTACTTTATATAGTTTCTTTCTAGATGAATTGGTTTGAACAAATATAGAATTAACATTAGGTGAATTGATTTACTTTTAAACCAAAAGAATAAGAAAATGAGATATATTTAATAAAACCATCAACCAACGTCAGCATTTTAGCATGATTGTATGAAATTTGAGCACTGAAATTACAGGTTTAGAATAGCAGATCTGAAGATGTAGAACTCGAACAACCGAGGTTAGAGATCATTGTGCGTGGGGAACGACGATCAAGCGAGGAAGTGAGGGGTTTCGTCAAAACAAGTTAAGCCACTGGAGGGAACCGTTGTAAGTTACTGGTGGAACTAAGGATATACAAGACGCAAACAAATCTTTTTTATACCTAAATTACTTAACAAATTTAATCTTTTACTGGAGGCCTTCCCCCACCTTCCGGAGCAACGTAAAGTGGCGAAGTAAACAAGTATCAAAATAACAAACTTTCTCATTTTGAATGATTAAGTTCTTAAACCCCTCTCACACCACTCACTTTTAACCCCCTTCCCCTCACACTCGCAACGGAAATTTTTTAAAATTTAAATTTACATCCCTATAATTAATTAATTAATTTATTTTATATCATTTTCTTTTAAATTTTTATTTTACACCCTTATCAAATTAACATACATAATCGTATATTAATAAAAAATATGTTTAAAGAATACGTTTTTATTGTAACAAGTTACACCATTTTAATCGTCTCGTCAATATCTTCGAAATGAGCTTAACATTGAATAGTTTTTGACTTAATTATATTATTATAAATACTATAAAAAAATATTTTTAATATTTACATTGATGGTAGATATTTTTTTCAAACCTCACAGACAACTGTTACTCTCTGTCGGCCGATCGTTGATTCACACTATTGCTAATCTATTTTCAGAGGGCTACAAAATAGTTATAATTTAAGATCTTTTTTAAGTAATCAATTTTTAAATTATTTTATTGAAAAATGTATTTGAATCATGAAAAGTTTAATGATTTTAAAAAAATAGTTTCATTTGAGGGTTTCAGAGATAGAGAAGGTTTAATAGCTTTCATGGCGTTATCATTGAAAATGATAAAAAACAGCTTTAACTAAAACATTTAAAGACTAAGTATTGATAGGAATTCTCTCAGATAAGAGAAAACTCTCCAAAAATAGGCATATGCCATTTTTATACGACGAACACACGGTATTCTTTAGTAAAAGGCGAAAAAATAGTTCGCTTTGTGCTCATCGCATGGCTGCGTGCCTTCTTCGCTTCACAGCTGAGGTTTATATATACACTCATCCTCGCCTTCTGATTTCACTAACCTACCGATGTGGGACAAACCCACCGCTCCCTACTTCCCGCTTTACTTTAAAACATATGCAAACATTTTCCTTTATTTTTTTTATATTATATATCCATCCATTATTGTTAAGATTTATTTTCCATTTTAAAATTTAATTATAAATTAAATATTTTCTTAGATTATATGTTAGTTTACAAATATCCATATTGATGGATAGATGTGTAATTTTACAAAAAAAAATTCAAGAGTTATCATTTCTTTCACTCCTTTTATTTTTGATTAACTTGTATATTCAAACCGCTATGCAAGCCAATTAATTCCAGGACGACCAACTGCTTTGCAGGTAGTCCGGAGTCACCGCACTTGAACCTCCATGATCACAAGGGGATTTTTGTTCTTTTTTGGATTTGAACCTGTGACCTCCAGACACTTTTGACTTTTAGAGTTAAGCTCAAACCAATCAGGCACCACTTTGTGGTTATTCAATCCTTTTATTTCAAAAACATTAAGCAAAAGAGACGGCACCATTCGTTTTTTCTTTTCTCAACTTGATCTTTTGCATATATTATGGTATAGTGTTTTAGATTCACTTAAGCGAAAGAGACCACACCTTTTTTTATGGGTCGGGTTCACATGAAACCAACTTGTTTTCATGAAACCATTTTTTTACACTTGAAACTTCATAACAAAACACTGTGAAGGTAAAAAAAAAACCATTTTTTTACACTTAAATTCACAGTGACAGTCTCTCTTAAACATATAACACTTTTTTATGAGTTATATAAGTTAAACCTTGTGAGAGTCTCTCTTAAACATATAACACTTTTTTATAATACTAACTTTTTTTTTTTTTCTATATGAATGGTCACATTCATAAATTATATTGTATAATATTTAAATTAAGGGGTCGTTTACCAAACGGTTACTCGGGTAAGCGTTTACTAACCTCACCGGATGAATATAATAGGGACTAAGAATAATACCCGGTAAGAGCGAGACAAGACCAAGAGTCTTACCGGATAAGTGAGGACGACTCTTACCACGGTAAGCGCTTACCGGGTAAATTGTTGCATACGGTGTCATTTTGGTGAACTAAAATATTATCCGGTAAGTAAATAATAGTGTTAAATTTTACCAGTAAACACTTATCGGGCAAGTGTTTGGTAAACGATCCCTAAGGTACATTATATATATGAATCTGACCAAAAATGTTTTGCATTTTCATGTATTTATATATTAGAATGAGAAAAAAGTATGTGACAATTTCATATATTTACCATTTAAAAATTAATAATTTTATTTATCATCTCAAATATTGGATCAATTCATATATTGACCTCTATAAACGGGTTGGACTACTGGTTAGGGATAACAGGCTGATCTTTCCCAAGAACTCACATCGACGAGAAAGCTTGGCACCTCGATGTCGGCTCTTCCCCACCTGGGGCTGTAGTATGTTCCAAGGGTTGGGATGTTCGCCCATTAAAGCGGTACGTGAGCTGAGTTCAGAACGTCGTGAGACAATTCAGTCCATATTCGGTGTGGGCGTTAAAGCATTAAGAGGACCTTTCCGTAGTACGAGAAGCTCGGGAAGGACGCACCTCTGGTGTACTAGTTATCGTGCCCAAGGTAAACGCTGGGTAGCCAAATACGGAGCGGATAACCGTTGAAAGCATATAAGTAGTAAGTCCACTCCCAGATGAGTGCTCTCCTATACCGACTTCCTCATAGTTCGTAAAACATGAAAAGTTGAATTATGGTTGTATTATTAATATTTGATTTTGATTATTACTTTTTTTTAAACATTGAATGTCAAAATAATCATTAAGACAAACTCGATCATTTGTTCAGTTTATCATCCAGTTGAATAATGATTATCTAAAAAGACAAATGATTATGTCAGAATATGAGTTAAAATGAGAAGCGTAAGAATGGATTTAGACCTTTAGATAATTTTTAATCTCACCCCACCCATTGATTGCGCTTATCATGTGAATTGATCCGGTACATCTCAGTGCACCACATTAGTGTTGATCATCAATTAGATTTGATCCAAAGGTGGAGATCCACTATTACCCTTCTCACTGTAACTTTCATTCTCACCGAAACCCTACCCTATTTAGAAAATGGTTTTATACCAACTTGATGTTACTATTACTAAATATTAGACACGATAAAATGAGTGAATTGGATAAAATGGCGAGTAATTCTTTTAGGGTGTGTTTGGTAGCTAGACGAGGCTAGACAAGACTGCATGAACGGGAATAAGGTAGGTGAGTGATTATGGAAGGTTTTAATTTGACATGAGTATTTTAGTAATTTATCAATCTTGTTTCATCTCCCATATTTTTGTCCTACCCAAGTCCTGTCTTAATAAATATCACGTCAAACATGAAATTGCAAGTTTTTGTCATATCATATCCTCCGTGCCAAACACACCTCCAATCCATCTTTTTTAGGTTTATTATATTCAACTTGTTAAATACAATTAAAAAAATTATATTATTACTATAATAATGATAACAATAACAATAACTTTTAAGAAAACAACATAAGAATATGCATATTAGGGGTGTGCATCGGTCGGGTTTGGGTGGAAAAATCAAAACCCAATCGGATTTCGGATATGGAAATCAAGCTCCAATTTTTGGATTTCAGACTTAGGATTGCTTCGGGTTCGGGTTAGTCGGGTTTCAGGTTTATAATGGGAAAACAATATATATCCAATCGATTTTGACGATGAATTCAATCGATTTAGAGGATTGATAAATCGATAGTATGCTTAGAAGTTAGAATAAAACTCAACAGACTAAGATATTTAGAATTTTCAAAAGATAATTAGATAAATAAATATATTTATATAGTATTTAAACTACATATGTATATATATTTTGGGTTTTCAGACGGATCAGGTGGCCAAAAATCAAACATAATCCGAACCTGAAATTTCCCAAAATGTCGGTTTTTGGATTTTCTGATTTTCGGACATCTGGGTTTTACATAAATACCTTATTTTAAGTTTGGGTTTTGAGTTCAGATTTCGGATAATTCGGGTTTTAGATACCCCTAATGTGTAGGAACTAATCATGGGTGATTTTTGACCCTGTTTTCACATGTCATTTGATTTCTTATCTTTTTAGATGAACTTTTAATTTTATATGTAGTCCGTTAAAGATAAAATAAAGCCAAACCAACCCATTTATAGATAAAATAAGTTGAAATTTGACATCTAAGGGCTTTTTACTAAACACTTACCTGGTAAGTGCTTACATAATTTTTTTATCGAATAAACATGAGAAGGGCCAAGAATCTTACCGGGTAAGAGCGATGAGAATGATGGAGAGTCTTACCCTGTAAGTGAGGATGACGACTCTTACCCAGTTAAGCGCTTACTCAGTAAATTTATTGCATTCGATATGTTTTGATGTACTAAAATCTTGCTCATCAAAATAAATCATAGTGTTAACTTTTATCAATAAACGCTTATCGAATAAGTAATTAGGTAAACGGTCCCTAAATATCACATAAGTGAATAGGATTGTCAACCAAGAGTAGAGATGGCCAAAAACCGGTCCCGGGCCGGTCCC